CATCTTCGGGACACAGATGATGCGGACCATACGAGGCACGGCAGACAATATGAGCTTGACTTTACCTGGAGATGACGAGTCGGTTTGATTGATGAAAACATTGTTGTTGTTGACCACAACGATGGCGAACTGGCTTCAACATACGTCGCTACCCTTTTCGACGTGGTGACACGGACATGAATACAACGCGGGTGACAACGCTTTCTCCTCCGTGATGATGACTAAGTTCAACGACATAAACTTCGCTGATGAAGAGAACAAACCAGCGGGATGAACTTCGCTGGATTGCGGAAGACTAGCTGAACCAGGGCTAGATACCATGAAGAATTCGATAACGTGGAAGGAAAAAGAATACGAAACAAGATTTTTACATGGTATCCCTGTTCGACGTGAACAAAACTAATCCACGGCTGATATTTTATTAGGTTTACATTGTGACGGCTTGCTTACGACAGGTTCGTAGCTAAGTCTTCTATAGAGATAGACTAGGGTTAAAACACTAACGAGAAGAGTCGAGTATGGCCAAATATCCGTACCTACTAGAACTCGGACAAAGCCCAATACTAACACGGTCTAAGTAACCGCAACATGGTATACCTTGGGCTTTAATCAATTTTTAATATTGGGGGTCGTGGAGATTCGAACACACGAACACTTGGTCAAACTAGCTCTAATACCATGTCATAAACCAGTTGGTCCCAATAACTCGAGTTATTGGGAGAGCTCCATGTATGGTACTTAACCACTTCCTTACATCAAGCTTATAATGTGAAAAATTCCGGATAGACCATTACCGACTTCATGTCATTTGATAAAATAATCAACGATCCACCATAGACTTATGGTTGAATTTATATTGAAAATTGTTGAGAAAGTGGCATATGCACCTTTTCCACTTCCACTAAAGCTCTTTAGGAAAATCATACACAACGTTTCTGATCACCGGATGGTGTCAGAGAAGATAGTAGTGTATTTTTTTGAGTCACATGTGTATGCAATTGTCAAGAAAATCATATCCATCTAAATTTGTTGTCTCCTTCAACTACTACAAAGGCAAACACAAACTTCTCTTTAGGAAAATCATACACAACGTTTCTGATCACCGGATGGTGTCAGAGAAGATAGTAGTGTATTTTTTGAGTCACATGTGTATGCAATTGTCAAGAAAATCATATCCATCTAAATTTGTTGTCTCCTTCAACTACTACAAAGGCAAACACAAACTTTTGCTTGTCGCCTTCAACTGTGGCAATAAGCAAGCAACCTTGGCACTTTTTGCTTTCAATGACTAGCATACTTGTACTTGATTATGAAACCATCATCTTATATGATATTTTTACAGTGATGTTTAGTTGTGCGTCCACCATGTTCTTGATTCTGTCACCCACATGTTTGGCATTGAGCTACTGGTGGTTTGGGAAATTGTAGTCAAGTTATATGTGTGATTGTTCTCCAACTAATGAATCACATAGGAATTTTGTCTACATATCCATGCATCCCAAACATTCCATATTTATCCTTCTTGATATTTCATTTATATGACATGAATTTGTTTTTGGTCGGCTTATGGTTATGATGCTCAATTTTGCCAAACCGCTTAGTGTTTCAAAGCTTATCGATTTCACTCTCGATTTACAATTTCATATCCACCTTGAACTCTATCGTTGGATCCCATATAAGCAAAATGGGAAACTCTGGGTTGTCATCGTGACCATATATGGGAAATGGTGGGATCATTGTGTGGTGTTGTATGGGATACTCATGAAGTCTCTCATCCTCATCATCCATTAAATACTAATTTATTTCAAATTCATCATTCTCATAATCTTCCCTGCCACTACTATACATAGGAGGCGACCTTTATCAATCTCGAAATAATGGTGTACATCATTACCATGATTTCTCACTGCTCCCACATTCTCACTACATGATATATGTACAGAGGATCAAACATTTGTAGTCTGAGAAGATACTCCAATATTAGACTACTATGAGCCCCATGTTGGCCACATCGTGTCATTAGACTTAATAAATGGAACAAGGGTAATAGATGATCCATAACCTCCTAACCACCATTACCAACTCCTTCTTAGCCTCATGAATCATCTTGTCTATAACCCCTTGAATCACTACCATGGTGGTAAGATGAAGTTGCACCACCATTTATAATGATTATTTTGAACCCCCCATGTTGGCCACATCGTATCGTTAGACTCATAAATGGAACAAGTGTAATAGGTGATCCATAACCTCCTAAACACCATTACCAAACTCCTTCTTATCCTCATGAACCATCATTATGGTTACCTCCAATATACTAATAGACTCGTCAAAGTAATAAGGCACAAAATTAGATACTCATTATCTATCAATTCCCGTAGGTTGAATAAAGAATCGACCTACTTCAGTAAATCAATCAATGATTCATCACCTGCTTCAGTCCACTTCCATCCCCTTCAATGCCCTCTCCATTTTTATTAATATCCTCATCATCTCTCACTTCTCTCTCTTCAACTGCTCCAGTGTCGCTTCCATGTCCTTCAATACACTCGTCAATTCGATCATTACCCTTACCAACTCCTTCTTCTCTGCCTTCACCTGCTGAAGTTGAACTTTACATGCTACCAAATCCAAACACAATTTCTTCCCCCATCACTTCCCTTCACATACCCAATGTCAACTCTTTTACTCCAAGTTCAACACCCCCAACTCCTATAGCATGAAAGGTTAATTTTAGCAATCATTATGGTTTGCAATTAGATTAATGAACACTAAAATCATCATCAAAATCAAAAGTGTCTAACTAATCCTAAAACAATAACAAAATTTGATCGGTGAGCTGGACCATATAATCGAGATTAATGAGGAACAATATGATTATAGAGAATATTAGTTATGACAAAATCAAACATGAGCGAAAATGTTGTAACTGAAAAGATTTTTTTCTTATTTTCATCTTATTTTGTTATTGGGTTAATAGCATTTTGTACTCTTTTACTTTTGTAAATTAACAAACGTACCCTCTATTAAATTTTTGCACGAATATACCCTTGTGTTATTAAAACGTAACGAATTTACCCTTCCGTCTAATTACCTGTTAAGTGACCGTTAAATGGGCTAAGAAAAGACCAAATTACCCTTCGTTTAATTTTGTTTTAATTATTTTCTATCCAAAATAAATTAAAATTTAAAACAAATCCCCTGATTCGGCAGGAAACGTTCCATCTCCCTCAAGCTGCCCGACTCCCCTGAAGTCTTCCCTCCGCTTAATCTCACCGCTGTGCCCGACTTCACCTGGCCGGCGGCTGGAGCAGAAACGTCCATCTCGTGGTACGCTAAAGGCTAAACACTTCCGCCTCCTTTTCAATTCTTCACTGAACACCACTGACATCCTTATTCCAGTTCCATATCCTCTGGCAATCGCCATCAGAAATTGAATCCATTAATTGGCTTGAATATTTAATATTTACTTGGGATTGATATAATTAAGATTGATTGATCCATATTGAATCCCGTCTCATCGAATAGTAGAGATTGCTAGAGTAGTTAGTGGCAGCAGCTATAGAACAGTGAATATCTTGAGGGAGGAGCAACCGAGATAGTAAGCATCCGATCGTTTCTGCTCCAGCCGCCGGCGAGGAAAAGCCGGAGCAGCCGCGGGATTAAACGGAGGGGAAGACTTCATGGAGATTGCAATAACAGGGAGTCGGGCAGCTTGAGGAGACGAACTAATGAGGGGATTAGTTTAGGGATTTGTTTTAATCTTTTATTTGGGATAGAAAATAATTAAAACAAAATTAAATGAAGGGCAATTTGGCCATTTCCTAGTTCATTTAGCGGTCACTTAACAGATAATTAGAAGGAAGGATAAATTTGGGCTTGCTAATCATGATGAAAAAGTTATCCGATTTGCAGAGTTTAACTTTGTATATGTTTTGTATTTAAAAAGACACAACAAATTTGTTTAGTGTAATTGGTAATGATTCTTCTCTTTGTTTGAAGAGACTGGGATTCAAATAGTGGCGGAGGCAGGATACGAAATTACCCCTGTCCTCTTTTTATAATCTATATATAATTATTTAATAAATAATATAATTAAAATTTATTATATCCAAATGATTCTTTCATAAATAAAAAATAATTGACTAATACAATCATTGTTTACATAAACAACAATGACGTGATTTCATATTGTGAAAAAAACGCAAATATATTATTTGTCTAGACTTTTAAGTAAGTCTTTTTCTATATATCCCACTAAACAATCATTAGAAAACAGGTCATCGATTCAACTTTGAAACTTATTCTTAGTATAACTCAAATCAACAAGTGCTCTTTCTACACTTGCAGTTGCAATTGATAAAATAAAAACTAGTGGAATTGTCATTGTCCTTGGGTAAAAATTGAATAGGCATAAGGAGAAAAGAGAATCGATTAGTTCTTTATTTCAATTGGAATTTTGTTTATAGTGTAACAAATTAATTTATATAAATTTATAAATAAGTAAAGAGTCGTGTTGTAGTGATTGTTAATGTAATAAACTATGGTGTAGTGACAAAAATACTATCGTATCACTTATAGATGTTATGACTTATAGATGTTATGTTTTATCCTCATATGTATCGGGTTTTTTTTTTCTTCCAAAATTTACCCATGTCCTATGACAATGCATGGGAGGGTTGCCTCCGCCTATGGGTTCAAATCATGATATTGATATTTTTATATGAAATAATTAATTAATTGTAAAGACAAAGATATTCTTTTTATTTTCACTCTAAGAAATTGAAATGAAAAAGTATACAAAACCCTACCTATTGGAGGACTTACCGCTTACGGAAATAGTCCATATCATTTATTTATTAAAAGTTATTCACTTATTTGTATATAAATACAGTTCTCGGTTAGGCTAATCTACATATCCAACTTCATTTATTAATGAAGTTATAAAACCTTCTTCCAATCCCTGTTCCATTTGCCCCCTCTGAAACTCACGCGTACCAATGGACTCCCCTCTCGCCGTCTTTTCCTACGCCGGCGCCGGGGCACTCCTCGTGGCCGGCACCCTCTACTGTTTGTTCGCCTTCCTCCTCGGCCCCGTGGAGAAGAACAGCAATCCCGCCGTGAATCTCTCAGGCGGGTCCGCCGGGAATGTGAGGTACAAGTACGAGCAGTACTGGTCGATCTTCTGCCGCCCGAGGGAGACCGTCGGAGTCGCCGACAAGGTCCCCGACTTCGTCGACACGTTCTACAACCTCATCACCGGCATTTACGAGTGGGGATGGGGCCAGTCTTTCCACTTCTCGCCACCTGTCCCGGGGAAATCGGACGGCGAGGCAAGCAAGCTCCACGAGCTGATGATCGTGGATCTCATCGGGGCCGGGCCGGGGGATCGGATTTTGGATGTCGGATGCGGCATTGGTGGGCCAATGAGGACCATTGCGGCCCACTCGGGAGCCAACGTTGTTGGGATCACCATAAACGATTATCAGGTAACTTCGTCTCTGAAATTTTATAATCGACAATTCATCTTGTACTAGCATAATCATTATTCTTTCTTTCTACTATTTTCTAGACAATTAAAATTATCATTAGATTATTTAATTGTCGTAAATCTACCTCATGTTTATCATGAGCATTTTTACTATGCTATATAGTATTGGTGCTTTAATATACAACTTAAAATTGTACTATAACATTAAATGTATAAGTTTAGGTTGTACCATTAAGCAATTTGTACCATTATGTTATGGTACAACTTTACAACTTGAAGTTGTACCATCACATAAAGGTACAAGTTCAAGTTGTACCATAAGAGAATTTGTACAAAAAGTATAGGTACAATCTGAAGTTGTACCATAACGTAAATGTACAATTTTAAGTTGTACCATAAATGTACAATCTGAATGAAAGTGATTTGAGGTAGATAGAAAAAAAATTCAGTTGTCAATGAAAAACATAAATGCAATTGCTTTTGCAATTGCATTGACTTGGATACTCTAACTAGTTAAAGAAAATACAAAATATGAAAAATATGAATATATATTGTAAGAAAGTGTACACCGAGATCTTCCGCGTCCTGAAGCCGGGGGCTCTCTACACGTCATACAACTGGATCACCACCGAGAAGTACAGGCCGGAGGAGGACGCGGAGATAATCCAAGGGATCGAGAGGGGAAACGCGCTGCCGGGGCTGAGGAGCTACTCCGACATCACGGCGGCGGCAAGGGAGGTCGGGTTCGAGGTGGTGAGGGTGAGGGACCTGGCGCGTGAGCCGACGACGGCGAGGTGGTGGGCGAGGCTGGTGGTGGGGAGGATGACGTACTGGAGGAACCACGTCGTGATCACGGCACTGGGGATTGCGCCGAAGGGGACGGTTGACGTGCCTGATATGCTGAGGAGGACGGCGGATTGGTTGGCGAGAGGTGGCGAGAAGGATATATTCAGCCCGATGCACATGATACTGTGCAGAAAGCCAGCCTGGGAATCGGGAAGCGAAGTCGGTGATCGATTAATTAGGGGAGAATGACAGTTTGTTTTTGACGCCCTATAATGGAGATGGCACTACAAGAAAAATGAGAATTAACGGCAAAGTCTATTTGCCACAATAAGTGATTTATGTGCCGCGAGAGCTGTATAGCGGCACACAATTGTGCGCTGTCAATACTGCTGTCGCTAAATCTCTTTAGCGGCAGATGTTAGCGGCAAATAATGTCTGTCACTAATTCATAAATTCCCAACAGATAGTTTTGTTGCCAATTTGACTTTTTAATTACTATTTATTGTGTCCGTTTCTCAATTTAGTAGCAACAGTATTTGTCACTAAAATTTACTTTAGCGGCAGATATATATGCTTCCATAATACGTTTTAGAGTCACTTGTATTAGCCTTCAATTTGATCTATAAAAGCAAACTAAGTGCCGCTAAAGGATAAATTTTTGTCGCTAATTTCACATTTACACAGCATTTTTCTACTTTTTGAGACATATTAATAGCCTCTAATTCGTATATTCTAGACAAATCTATTTGTTAGTAATTCTACCTTTTAGCCGCACAAACATTTGCTGGTAATTAGATTTTTTTCTCGGTAATTAATTAGATTTTTTTTCCGTGGCATATATGAGAGGCTCGCATATTAATATTAAATTGGACTCCAATATCTTAATAATTATGATATTTTAAATAAAATGAAATTGAAAGTGAGGGCTATTGTATAGGGAGTTACTAAAGGTCGCCCTTAAAATTGCTAAATGTCGCCCTAAAAAACATCAAAGTTACAAATTTGACCTTTTAGTTTCTTTACTCTTCCTTTAGCAAACAAACACCATTTAGTAAAGAAAATAAAACATTATTCAAAAGAGAGAATCCATCATCGTCATTCTGGAGTTGGAATCGTCGATATGATGTCTGGATCATTTGCGGTTGCACCATGGACCAATCGCAACCGCAAATGAGCTGCGGTTGGTCCATGGTGCAACCGCAGCTCACTTGCGGTTCCACCATGGGCCAACCGCAGCTCACTTGCGGTTGCACCATGGACCAACCGTAACTTGCCTTAGTTTGAGCGTTTTTTTGGAAATTTCGTTAGAGAATGGGCGACGACGACGGCGGGAAAGACGCCGACGAACTGGTGCGTCCAGAAGGATTCGCGAATAAGGTAGATGAGGGGTTCAGTTTGAGGGGTTAGAGATTGTTTGGTTTGTTTAAATTTTAAAATTTTATTAGGGGTATATAAGTCATTTATCATTAGAGTTAGGGCGACCGTTAACAATTTTAAGGGCGACATTTAGCGATTCAGATTATATATAGCATAAACACAATCTCTTTACAAACCGCTCAAGGAAATAACTAAGCCAAATGTGAAGGGGCAAAAAAATAAACAATGCTTCACGTACAGGTTCTTGCTAACTAAATATACTATAATCTAAATACTACCCGCCAATACCATAACACATATACACGAAGTCCAACTTCATCACGAACTTTTGTGCAGGAGAAGTATTCAAACGTATTCAACCTGCATTTAAAACCATATATCAATTTAAGTTCCCAATTGATTTAAACAAAACAGTATCAATGAATCAAGCGATAGTAGACGAATTGACTTACAAAACTAGATGGCCATGCAATACTTTGTGCTACCACATCCCCAATAAACTGATAACTTCCATATGATCGTATTAAAGGCTCATCACGCTTGATTGGTACTATGATAAATACCTCAACAAATCCAACCCCTAGTTCTTCCCCGCCTACCAATTTCTTTGGATCTTTACTGCACACACCGGCTCTAGCTACATCAACACCAGGACTCTGTAAACTCTTCAATAACACATCTGTTAATCCATGTATATGTACAGAAGTATCATTTGACAGAGGTGTATCTCACTATGGCGGCACCAACTGCTACAAGGTGAAGCATGGTGGAAGGAAGATCTTGCTGAAACCTCTGACCCCGCAGGAGGTTCGCGAAGATCAACAACAACTAGAGGCTGGTCGACGGCGAACTGCAGGGGGGATCTAGTGAGAACAAACTCCATGTGGCATTCCTAACCCATCGAAGGTTCATGTTAACTGGGTACCGGAAGAAGAAGGCTCCGCGTCGGCGTCGACCCTGTGTTTCTTCGCCAAAACAGAGCAAGAGAGAGGGGGAGTTGGGTGGCGAGCTGGGCAGCACCACGAACTCCACCGATGATGCCAAAACATCCCCTGAATCCTTGCAAAGCTTCCCTAATGATTGGCTTGGGCCAAATTTTTCTATTTTACAAGATGCTGATCGAGCTGCAACACCCCTGCTGGCCTTCGAACACAAAGGGAAGGTGGTGGTATGGGGGGGAGTGCTTGGGGACCAGTCGGCACACGCCGACACTGCGGAATCATCAGGGATCGACCCAGGAAGCTGTAGGAATCGTCGAATTGCTACAGCTAAGCGTGAATCCGAAACGCCCAAATCGGAATTAAAATTCATGGGCTTGGCAGGTTTGAATGTCGACCAAGGCGGGATAAATAGAACCTACGATTCAGCCCCACCAACAATGAATCGAGAGGTGAGGATGCTCCAGAAACGCGATTCGAAGTCTCACGAAGCTGGTGGTAATCACGAATTGAATTGGTACTGCCTCGATCAAAAGTCCCCAATCTCATGGTTCAAGAACAATGCTCTATTTTTCCAGAATGGTCAGTTCGAGCACTCATATTCCGATCCGGTTTGGGAGCAGTTTTGTACGGATTTCGATAGGAGGAAGGTTCACGCTTTGAGGACAAAGATTTTTGAAGAAGGGGGGCCCTGATATGATTCTCGTCCATTCACCCTACAAGTTGGAATTGATTGTTCAAGAAGCTACTTCGATGACGTACAAGAAGTTGGAGATTCGGCCAAGTGTTTTGGCAGTTTCAGGTAACCCACTTTGGGAGCTCGGTTTGCTCAATTGGTTAAATAGAAATGGTTTTTTAGGTGCTCGTTGTGAAGCTGGGATGTTTGTTTACATAAAGGGAGGCTTGAGAGCTCAAAGGGAAGTCAGGAAGTTCATTGTTCGAGCTGTTCAAAAGTGTATGCACAAACTGGCAAACTACCAGAATTTGGCTAAGTCTGGGAGTGTGATCAGGAAGCTCACTTTGGAGCTCTATTCCAGGAAGAAGAGTGATGATCTAGGCAGGAGCTCCCTACCCCATGAAAGCATGTATGTCAATCTACAACGGAAGGGCATTGGCTGATGAATCACTTACCATAAGGTCTTCGATCGAGAGGCTCAAAGATGGTATCGAAAACTGTTCTTTTACTGGAAGCTGATGGCAGGAGTTGTTTCCTTGTTTGCTACGGAGTGTTTTCCTTTTCTGTTTGTAATTAGTTTTCGTGTCCTACTGTAATTGGGAAGGCTTGTAGTTTTAGTTGCCCTAGTTTTCTATTTAAACACTCGTCGATTGCATTGTAATTCGTTAGAGTTTAATCAAAGAACCCGTTTGTTCATAGAGCTTTTGTCTCGTGAATTGTCCTTGTTTGAGGGGATTGTATTCCGTCAATCAAGCGAGCTCAGTATCAATTGAGTATCCACCTCAATTGTGGACGAGTTGCGACTGCTAATTCGATCGAGCCTCTTCCCTTCATTGGTGCGAAGTTGCACGTTCGAACACCATCCCTTTTCTTCCCCTGTTTTGCGTCGAAAATCTCCTACTCACTTGTTTCATTGGAGTTGGACGAGTTACAGCACCCTAGCTGGGAATTAGGACTCCATCAAGTGGTATCAGAGCCTGGTTCAACTCAGCGGCGTTTGTGAGGAATTCTGGTTTCTGTGCGGTGGCTAGGAAGACGATTTCGTCGGCGAAAGGAGTCGCCGGTACTGAAAGGTGGACCAGATCCAAAGGGCCCGTTTCCTGTGACCCTGCTGCTGTTCAACCATCTGAACAGACGACGAAGAAAAGGCAGGCAGCTCCAGAAGCTGCTCGCGTTTCATCCAGTGCAGCACGCGCAGAGTCCGCGCCCGAGAAGGAGACCTCAATTGACAAGGCACCGATGGCTGAGGAAAAAATCAATACGTCAGAACTTCTCCAAACAATTATGGCTCAGCTGAACGTCACGTTTCAGGCGCAATTTGATCAAATTAACCGCCAGTTGACCGAATTGAAGACTGCGGCAAGCAACCCTGTGCCAACGGAGAGAGTGGCAGAGCCTGTTCCCAACCCAGGCGGTAATCAAGTTCGAACAGCCCCAATTGGCGCCTTACCGGAGCTGGATGACAGGATCAGAAATCTCGAACGACGACTAATCCTCGCATAAGGAAATCCGATGCCTCTCAACCACGAATTGCATGATCAAAATTTCCGACCACCAGAAGCAGAGCAAGAGGCTGCAGTGGCAGAACTCAAAGAAATCAAGCTTGCGATTCCTTCCTTCTCAGGATCCAACAATGTCTCAGCCTACCTATATTGGGAAAGAAAGATGATTCTCTTCTTTCAATGTGGCAATTACACCGATTCCCAGAAGATCACACTTGCCACCTATGAATTTACAGACTACGCAGCATTGTGGTGGGAGAAGGTGCAGCTTCGACGACGAAGGAACGGACAGCCTGTTGTAGCAACTTGGGAGGAGCTGAGAAGACTAATGAGAGATCGTTTTGTTCCCGAGTACTATCAAAGGGACCTCTTTGATTCCTTACAAGTGATTCGGCAAGGTTCGCGATCTGTTAACGAATATTATAAAGAGCTTGAGTTGCTCTTAATGAGAGCCGATGTCCGAGAGGATAGAGAAGCCACCGTCGCGAGGTTCTTACATGGATTAAACAGGGACATCCGATACGAAGTGGAGCTTCGACCATTTGTTGAGTTGGAGGAAGCTGTACATCTTGCGATGAAGGTGGAAAAGCAACTAAAATCCTCCCATTTGAAGCTAAAGCACGATACTGGGGTATATATGTCTCGAGAATTACATTTGGTAGGACCTGAGACTGACAAAACAACCCATTTATTTAATAACTCAAAACAAGAGCATATATCACGCAAAGAAACAGAAGAGAGAACTCCATAATAAGACAGCAAAGCCTATTAAGATGGCAAAACAAGAGCATAGACCATGCAAAGAAACAGAAGAGTGAACTTCAGGAAGAAGCAGAGTTGCATAGACAAACAGAGGCCACGCAAAGAAATGTGTAGACAGACAACACTATAATAAGACAGTAAAACAAGAGCAGACCATATTTGCAAAAGGAAGAAGCAGAGAAAGCGGAAGGCAAGACAAAAGTGAGAAGTAATGGCACTTATTCGTAGCGAAGTCACCGAAGAGAGAACTCCTTTTCACTAAAAGAGTAAGATTACTAACAGAAAGCATCCCAATCCGACTTAGAAAAATTGTTGGCCAATGGGAAGCTAAGTCTACAAAGAGAAAAACAGGTTCTTGTATATACGTGCTTACATTTCTTGGTGTAGTCTCGACTCTTCTAGGTGGAGATTGTAACATTGGGAGGAATGGACCAGTGCCTAAATTGTATTCATCCTACAACAGAATCAAAGCCGTAGATATCATTCTTAATGGAAAATGGAATTTTGTGCGGTACTTTGAATGAAGACAACTATCCTGGGTAGATGAGTCATCATATTGAATGCATTCATCATCCACATGTCTTGTGTGATCCTAAATGAGACATAAATTAAAAGTATAAATGGATCTATGTAATAGATGTACTAAACTAGGACATATTATTTAAGTAGAAGCATTATGAAATTTACCAGACTCGGTTCATCTCCAGCAACAGGAGGTGAAGTATTCGATCATTTGTTGAATCCAACAGTGCATTTGGATTCATCTTCCCAAGAATAGTGAAAGTTCTGGCTTGTTCTGCTTTCATCAGATTCATTTCATCTTGATATCTAGCTTCCATTAGTTTCATATCTTCTTGTACCTTCACCACTTTTTCATCTGCATTTCTTTGGACCTCCAATGTCGTCTTTATGATTGACTTGCGAGAGTTTCTCACACCCCAAGCTGGTGCTAATCCAAATGTCCTAGGCCGATACTGACACTTATTTTCCCCTAAGACAAGTGTAAGAGGGTCCTCTCCTCCCGTACCATCAGCAATTTTCTCCTGAAAACATGGTTAATACATTTGACAATGAATTCGCTACGACTAAACAACTAAGAGCTAAGTCAAACTTAACATGATACTTACAATGACATCTGTAACTTTTGGAGTCAATGGAGTCCCATCACTATGTATATGGGCAGCAACATAAAGCTCAGCCTCAGTTGGCTCTGACTTATCTGGTATGGATTCTTTCTGAAGAGTACAATATACCACAAACTAATTACGAGTCATATAATTAAACATACATATTAAAGAGACCGCCTTAAATGTATGCAATATAAACATTACCATTTCTTCCTTCTTGTTAGCATAACTAGATGATCCCAATGTGTGTGTCGATGTCATCTTGCTTCGGTTATCTTTTGCTACTTTTTCTCTATGTTGTAATGATGAAAACAAGTTCAATATAGTAAGAAGGTCTTGTACTACATGCAGGTATGCTATAAATAAACATAAAAATACCTAAAACCTTTCGTAATTAAAAAGAAAAAGGCTAGTTAAAACAAACCAGAGATGATATGACCAAATGAACAAAAACTATACCATAGCCTTGTCACTTTTCCAAAAGTTCAGCAGCCATTCCCAGTCAGCCGGAGATACTCTATTATCTTTTGTACCATTCACCAGCTAGTTCCCTTTCAACTCTGACTTGAAATCCTTCCATTTCTTGCTAAATGATGTCATCACCCATGGTTCAACTGGAGGATCAATGCTGAACTTTTCCTGGTTGTAATAAATGAAGATCAATTCATGCTGAACTCTCGGCTTGTAGTGTACATATAGGTTACAGATATATATATATATATATATATATATATATATATATATATATATATATATATATATATATATATGTTCTACCTGTATCAACTTCCAGATTTTTATCTTATAAGAATCCGGAACTTTCCTCTAGTCATCATATTGGATAGGAACATATGCACCATTTCTAGCTATAACACCCAAGAAGTTAGCTAGCTTATTTTGACCTTCACCCACTGGTTGTCCATCATCATTCATGGCCACGAAAATCTTTTGACCTAGAGGTAGGCCCCAAATATCCTTGCACATAGTTGGTCATCTTCCTTTTTTTCTTCTCAATCGTTCGTTGAGGCATCAACATTCGATTCATCTTCACAACGTAATAAATGAATGTTCTATTTTTCCTTTTCTATCCACCTGCAAATGGCACTCGGATGTTCAAAAAATTAAACACGTATGCCTAGTCAACAATATATAACGACTACATCATCAAAAAGCCAAAGGAGTCAAAATTGTTCCAGTTCGCCTAGTCAACAATGCACAGACATAAACTCCCTACATCATCAAAACCCACAGAAACTCCCTACATCAACAATACGAAAGTATATATGTACACTAGAAGCCGAAAGAACAGGGGCAATTCCACAAAGCAAAATTCAACAATTAAAATATTATATAGGGTAATCACTTAGCCTAAACTGTAATCTCAAATAAGCAATCCGTTAATAATCATGCAAAACCCACCCAAAAACACATCTCACCCAACCTCTTTCCATTTCGAGAAGGATGGCAGTGGACTAAGGAGGGCAGGGGTAGGGGAGTTCGCTAAAGAGCTTAGTGTAAATAAATACGAAAACTGACCAGGGATTTTGTGAGTTGTGGCGCAGGGACCTTAGGGGAACAAGACGGACTTGACAGCGTCGGGGAGGATGAAGGCGGAGATAAAGAGGAGGATGGATGATTCGGGCGTGATATGCAATTAGGTTTAAAATTTTCAATTTACCCACCCGCTCAGCATCCCCGATGACTATCCTGCCTTCTTTTTGATTCTGAACTTGGGTTTTGGCGGGACAGATTCTTCACGCAATTCATTTTTGGGAGGTTTTCGTGGCTTGCCGAGTTGGAGAGGAGTTGGAGGCAAAGAAGGCGGAAGGAAAAAGGAGGTGAGGTTTTCCTTTTGATTTCTTTAATCTTTTTTTTTCTTTCGTGAGATCCAACTTCCAATACATACAGCAGCTGAAAAAGAATCATTTCTTTATTTACAAAATGAATCATTATATTGCTTTGAATATTTATTTTTTAACCTGCTGGGAATTTAGTACGTTAAAACTATTTGTTTTGGATAGCCTTTTTAAACATGTAATCACATCCACTTATCTTTTTTAACCCTTCTCCAAATAGAGCTAGTACTCAACATCCATATTATCATCCCCGACTTCACCATCATCTTCCACTTGTGGTGCTTCAAAACCTACCCTTCTTCCGATTCCAGCAGATGATTCAGGCGGAGCATCTATAAGAGATCCCTCGCCGCTTGCACTAATCCAATCAGCATCTCCATCCTTTGGAATGTCTTCCGAAAATTCTCCACTTACAGCCTCACTTTGTAAATAAGTATCAACATCTTCCTCGTCTCCTTCTATACTCATGTCGCATAAATCTCTTGGTGTAGTTTTGACAACCACTTTCCAATTTTCTCAATGGGATCATCAACATAAAACACTTGTTGAGCCTGTGAAGCCATAATAAATGGTTCTTTGTCATCCATTTGCCGGTTAAAATTCACCAGAGTGAATCCCAATTCATCTTGCTTCAAGCCTCTGCCATTTGACACCCAGTCACACTTGAATACCACAACTTTCTTACCATATGAGTAATCCAATTCGATTATCTCCTGAATGACACCATACTAACTCATCTCACCATAAATTGGATTTCTATCTCGAGCACTAGCAAAACTCTGAGTGCTTGTTGTTACCATCACCCCGCTATTTTGTGTTTTCCTCTTTTGCTCCAGCTTTTTTGTGTGAAATCGAAACCCATTAACAATGTATCCCTTGGAAAACCGCACCACTTTGCTAGGTTTTTGGGCCAACTGTTCAAAATCTTCTAAATCGGCTACAGGAATATCTATGGATCTAGATTCAACCAGTAACATACATCGTGTGTTTTTACCATGCTTAGTTGATGTTAAAAAAAAGTCCCAAATAGTAACTATAACTATGCAAAGAAAATAAACTTACTTGCTCCTTAAACCATGATTGAAATCTTGAATTGTGAAGCCTTTGAATGGTATGAGGTGTAGCACGTGGATTTTGACTTTTTAGCAAGGAATGATGCATCCTGCAAAAATTCAGCACACGATCAGACAATCCTTTAATAACTTAATTAATACTTATATTAATGATAATCATCCCTCACTTACTCAGTAAGATGGGCTACTTCCGTGCAATTAGTGAGGACGTACTGATGTGCCTTTTCCAACATGTCTCTATCTAGAGTTTGGAGACGCCCTTTCTTCAATGGACGCCCGACATTTGGGAATATCTTGGATACTACATTGGTTGTAGAATCGACTCCACGCTGAAGGTTGCCTTCATTTCTAGATGGGCGATTGAATTGTGTCTCCACTCCTTGTAAATATCTCGAACAAAAGTCCCAACACTCTTTAGCAAGGTATCCTTTAGCAATTGAACCTTCTGGTTGTGCTTTGTTACCAACACATGATTTTTGTGACACCCTAACCCAAAAATGGGGTGTTACATTTCCTCCACCCTTATAAAAATTTCGTCCCTGAAATTTGCTTGAAACCCATTGCTCATTCTACACCATCTTTGTACTTCCTTGCCTCAAGAATTTACTCTAGCTAAATGTACTTAGATGATGTCCGCTGCTTGTCCGATGTCCGTTGCTTGTCCCGTATAGTTTACCTCGCTTCTTATATTTCCTCTTGACCACAGAAGGGATTCTCACCAAGCTCGTTAGCATCGGCCAGTTTTGGGTGGCTACTTATCCTTTTTAATTCCCCACTTGGGCATAAGGGGTGACGGGACAACACTTCGAGTCGATTTATTTGTCCAGCTCATTCAGTACTTGTTGTTAAACCTATCGAAGTCGAGGTATCACATTTCCTCCCAACTTATAGAAATTTTTCCCTCGGAATTTTTTCCACTGTACTTACCCTAAGCATCGCTTGTGGTAATCCTTTTCACTTCGCGGACTTTTTTATTTTTTTTTATTTCCTTAACTTGTACGACATGACCTAAAATCCTTCTCTCCATTTCGTGCAACTTCGATGTTGTTGTGGCTTCTTAACCCCTCGCATTACCTCGGCTGCACCTTGTTCATATGTCGAAACAATAAATATCTCCATTATTCGGTATACGAGACATTAATGCTTCCCTCGAACCCCAATGTTACATATGGTGGCTTATCCTCTATCCACTCAAATGGTAAAACTCTTTTACCGTAAATCTCGTCCGTAGTTGACCTCATAGGTCACCTAGGTCCTTGTACCTCCTAACTTGGCATCTCTTACTTTCTTCCTTGATGTCCAGCTCGTCTTATCCTTTAACCATAAACGGAATGGTCATCTCCTCGTTACTTCTTGCTAAACACAGAAACCTCATACTACTGCTTTTACTGTCTGTATGCAGTAGAGGCATCCTCTGTATCTTTCTCTAGCTTGCGATCAACTTTATGAATCATTTCAAGAGTCATGATATTCCCTCTGGCTTACTTGCTCACTTCTGGCGCCTAACTTGGCACTTCCTTATAGCTTCTTTAATTTGATGTTCTCGTAATATCCATTCTCCCTTAGGCGAATCCCACATCGACAAAGCACGGGAGAGATCCATAGTTCCACCTTAAAAATTGACTGAAATATCTCGATGGACTTCCTATGGATCGGTTGTTCTCTTCTTGGTGGTCAACCTAATGCTTTCTTGTTGTCTGTTGTACTCCTGCTTCTGCCTGTCTTAACTATCTTCCTTGACGCATACATCTCCAGGTTGCTGCCAACCCCTTTTTCCCTATAACTTCCCATGGTGTTCTTCTTGCTTCTTTACTTTTACTACCACAAAACTACAACTCTACTTTTGTTGCTTGTACTATATTTGGTTACCAACCTCTGTTGAGTATCTTCTCGTTGTTGCTTTAGGTCACAACTTCCAATGGTGGCTTGCCCTTGGTAACCTTTAACATAACTCATTCCATGTCTCTTTTGTTGATCGTTCTTGTACATAAACTTAGTCTCTTAGTTAGGATTCTTAGTGGCTTAACTAAGCGTGCATGTTTCATCCTTAACTAGTTGTCTCCTCTGGAGCCCTCCTACTATGCCGCGCCCACTCAGAGTGTGGCACCTTGGATAAGGTAACTTCTCTTTTTCCTCCTTCTCGGTAATGCTTTCCCTCATCGTACCTCTTTGTGCAGCTTCTTGACCTCGAGTCACCTGAGACTTGACCCATGGACTCCTTGAAATCTCGTCAAACTCCCTCTGGCCCTTTTTGCTCTTCCTTGGTATTGTTCGCAAACTCTCTTCATTACGACCGTTTGGACTCTTCCTCGAATTCTCCAACTTTCATTAGAACTTCTAATGAACGTTGTACTTGTTTGTCTATACCCGGTTGATTGAATGATTTACTCCTACGGCTGGTTCTGAGACTCCCGCTCTTGGCCCTCTAGTTCCCACTTTAGACTTTCCCAATGGATTCCTTGAAATCTCACGATTTTCTGATTCTCCTTGATCATGGTAATTTGCAGGGGCTCTCAACCCCTTCTCATACCTTGTCTTGTTCCTTCTAAAGGGTTTTCATCGTCCCAACTTCCCAGGGTCATGTTGACTCTTGTCTTGTTCCTTTCAAAAGCTTGATACCGGTCTAATTCCTCAGGGTCATGTACCCTCTTCTAGATGACGTAGTTTATCTACTAGGGTTCCTTCATCGTCATATGTAAATGACCATGCCTCCCCTCCTCCTTAATCTATTGACTTCTTGACGTCCTTTCAGACCCCCTCTAACCTACTTACTTCCTCATTTACTTCATTTACACTACCCTAGCTTCTCTTGAAGTCTAAGCTTTTCGCTGCTCCTTGTCACTATGTTGTAATAGCGTTGACCACTAAAACTAGTTGAGGGACTTCTCGTGGTACCTCTTCGTTTCTTGGCTCGTTGCTTCCTCGCCACTGCTTAGGTTCAAGGACCCTGAAATCCTCCCATCATTATAGCTACTGACATCTAGTAACTGTAGCTCTTTCTTCAGATATTCATAGTTCTCCTATTTGTTTGCTTTTGCTTATTAGATCCTCTCCTTGCTGCCTAGTAGTAGAATCCTCGTACTACTCCTTCAACTCCTCCAAAATCCTAGAGGTATTCCCTTACGATTGGAACCTCTTCTATTGGAACTTTAGTTATTTACCTTAATACGATTAGAGTAGACTGGAGATTCTATAGACTCTTAAAAGAAGACACTTGACTCGTTTTTCCTTTCCTTTAAAAACAAAAACCTTTAAAACTGAGACCAATATTCCAGTATTCCTTGGAGACCAAGGAACAGAGGAAGACTGGCTTTGATACCAAAATGTGACAACCTAACCCGAAAATGGGGTGTTACAATTTTCATGTAGACAAAAACCTACATCAATCAAAGGCTAGTTATTTAACGAACTTATATCATGCATTATATACATAATAGAGCAAGCAAAAATATACTGGTGAATTAAAATATATACCATACTATAACAACATACCTCTCAACTGGATACATCCATCTTGCTTGTACCGAACCACCTAACTTGGCCTCAGACACCAAATGGACAGTCAAGTGGATCATAATATCGAAAAATGCTGGGGGAAAGATTCTTTCCAACTGACATAGAGTTAAAGCAATTTGTGCCTCTAAGCGAGTCAAGTTCCCTACACGACCCACCTTTGAACATAATTCCTTGAAGTAGGAGCATAGTTGGATTATTGGCTTGCTCACCGCTTTAGGCAAAACTCTTCTTATTGCCAAAGGAAGAAGTTGTTGCATTATAACATGACTATCATGACTTTTCAAACCCGAGATTTTACGATTTTGCATGTTCACACAATTAGCTATATTAGCAGCATAGCCATCGGGGACTTTGACACTCTTCAGTACCCCACACAAAGTTTGCTTCTTTCTAGAAGTGAGCGTAAAAGATGCATCACGAATGAAAAACTTACCAGAAGGATGCCTCTGTGGATGTAGTCCCTCCCTTATCCTTAGCAATTGCATATCCTGGCGAGCTTTGACACCAACTTTTGACCTCCCAGCAACATTCAATAATGTAAAGAGAATGCTATCACATACATTCTTCTCAATATGCATCACATCAAGATTGTGCCTTAGTAGGTTACTCTCCCAATATGGCAACTCAAAGAATATACTTCTTTTCTTCTAGCCATGAGGTAGAGTCTCATTATGGCATTCTTTGCCAAACGTGATCTGTTTACCCTGTAACTCATTTAACACCTCAGACCCAGACAGTGGTTTAGGAGCAGGTCTGAACTCTTGTTGATTGTCAAAGGATATTTTATGGTGTCTGAGTACATGGTTAGAAGGAAAAAATCTGCGATGGCCCAAGTAGCAATATTTGTGACCATGGTACAACCACTGGGAATGTGTATACTTATGACAAGAAGGACATGCTAGCGAACCTTTAGTGCCCCATCCTGATAACATTGCATAGCCTGGGAAGTCACTTATTGTCCACATAAGTGCTGTCCTCATTTTAAAAGTTTGCTTAGAAGATGCGTCATAAGTTTCTACACCATCATTCCATAAACCTTGTAAATCCTCAATCATCGGCTGCAAATACACATCGATGTCATTTCCAGGAAACTTTGGACCAGGAATCAGCAGGGTTAAAAACATGTATGGCTCCTTCATGTTTAACCAAGGAGGCAAATTATATGCCATCATAACAACTGGCCATGTGTTGTGTGAAATACTCATTAATCTGAAAGGGTTGAAACCATCAGCCGCTAAACCCAATCGAATGTTGCGAGGATCGGAAGCAAAATTTGGATGATGAAAGTCAAAAAATTTCCATGCTGGAGAATCTGCTGGGTGCCTCAAGTTGTCGTCTTTTACACGACTTTCAGCATGCCAACGCATCAAATTTGCTGTGTCTGGCGTAATGAACAACCTTTGAAGTCTTGGCCCTATTGGAAAGTAGCGAAGCTTCTTGAAAGGGATTTTGGTAGACTTGGATTCCGATGAAGTAGTTGGATCACTCGATGTATTTTGCCACCTATCAGCTTTACATATCACACACTTGGACGCATTGATATGCTCTTTCCAAAATAACATGCAGTCATTCTGATAAGCGTCATAAGTTTTCTGACTCAGCCCCAATTCTGACATAACTTTCTTCAATTCATAGTGAGATTTGGGTAAAGTTTCTCCTGCAGGAAGTACTTCTCGCAATAACTCTAACAACATATCAAGCGATTTGATGGACCATTTCCCAACACACTTCACGTGAAATAATCTGACGATGAAGGAAAGCTTGGTATGACTAGTACAACAAGGAAATAGTGGAGTTTGATGTGCTTCTACCAACCTCAAATTTTACGAACCTCCGTGTTTGTTTCATCTGCTTCTATTCCGGACTGAATGTCGTTCTCCATATCACCAAGCATGTCATCGATGTCATTGTCAGAATCCTCATAATTTGTTGTTGTATCCACATAATCTTGATTTGTTGTGCCCATAGCGGGCGACGCATGGAAAGAACTTTCTCCATGTAAAACCCAATTTGTGTAATTGGGAAAGAATCTGAAGCATACCAAGTGATTGTACACATCGGGACGAGACAACCATAACCGATTGCAACATCTCTTGCATGGACATAAAATTTGTGCATCGCGACAACATGGAGAAGCATAAGCGAAATCCAAAAATTTGTTTAACCCATCTATATATTCCTCCGTACTTCTTGGCTTGTTCATCCAACTTTTATCCATCTGCAACAAAAACAAATTGGTAATAAACAGGTTAAATAAATAATTTGTAATTAAGGAACGATTATAGCCTTTTTCATTCAACGAGAAAAAAATATAACCTTCGTCGCTGTAGATTGGATCTTCGGAGAATGGTATGAACTGACCGGAGAATATGGTCTTCCAAAAAAATAAACTGAATAAATTTCTGCTCTGAAATATCTATTCTCCGTTACCCCTGTCCGCCAGAGACTCCTAGACACTTGTGAGTGACCCTCAAATATGTGACCTACAGCTTCTGGACTCCTTGGATGCCTACAGCTCCTGGGCCAACGTGTGTCTCTCTTAGAAATTGATAGCAGCAAATAACTTGAAGTTCCAATTTATAGACCATCATTATACTTTGTCCTTGTCCATATCGTATTTGTCTTCCGCATATGACACGCATAGATTTTTTTTTTACTCCAGCTTAGAAATTGATTGCAACATTCCTCATTTATAATATTAATTAATTAATAGCAATATACGAGTTGGACAATTAAATAAGGAGTCACTGGGGTCGGTTAGCATGCTAACCCCCCTTACGGGTTGGAAAAATGACACCCCCTAGTATATTAAATACAACTATAGAATTTAATACACACATTAAATACACATTAGGAATTAAATGCACCATATTAATTATTTGTTTTTTTTTTCAAATTAAAACCTACACTAACTACATTTTCTCTCACTATATTTGATTTTTCCTTTTTCAGCAGTCTCCGACCACCAGACTTCCTCCGACTGCCACACTTCTCCGGTGAAAATCCCATCGGCAGACTCCCTCCGACCACCTCCAAAAAATATACCACTGCACTGATACGTTGTACCACTGTACTGGTAGATATACCACTGCATTGGTAGCGATATCAGTGCACTGGTACCAATGTCATATCTGAGTATCAGTGCAGTGGTACAAATACCAGTAAAGTGGTACAACATATCAGTGCAGTGGTATATTTTTGCATGTGACCGAAGAGAGTTTGTCGGCGGATTTTACCGGCGAAGTGTGGTGGTCGGAGGAAACTTGGTGGTCGGAGGCTGCTCAGACAGGAAGAATCAGAGATAGGAGTGAGAAAGATCAAAGATGAGAGAGAGAATTGTATTTTGTATATGTTTAGATTTTTTTTAAAATAAGTAATTAATGTGGTGTATTTAATGCTTACTTTGTATTTAATAACTGAACATTTATTATGTTTATTTTCACTAATATTTGTCAATGATTAATGAAAAATTGACCAATTACAATGTGGGTGTCAAAAAACCAACCCCTTAAGGGGGTTAGCATGCTAACCCGTCCCGGAGTCACTTTATATGCCACGCTTCTCATGATCATTCTATGCCGGCTGTTGCCACCATGTGTACTTAATCTTTTTGTTCCAAACCACATGTGATTAGTTTATTATAATGGGGAGTTAGAGTACAATGAAAAGGATGACTCTTGCCTCGGTTAAATAACATTTACCCTTTTTTTAGAGAAAATAAAACAATTTACTTGTTATTTAAATCATTAACGGAGTCGGAATTATAATAATATATCCTTTAATTGGAGGCACATATGTGTTTTGTGGGGACAATCATATTTGATGGTATTTCAATTAAAATCAACGGATTATTTTTCTATTTTTCATACAACGTTTTCGTTTAGATAATAGTAGGACAACTATTAGCGACAATAAGAGTAGCCTCTAAAATTATTTATATAGAGGCAGAATATTTTCAGCCTCCATAAGTATTAAATATAATTATAATAATGATATATATTCTTCGTATATAACAAGACAAAACTTTAAAAGGCAGTTATACAAAATGTGCCAATATATGAAAGATTTTAATTAAGTTAAAATAAATAGTAAAAAGATAATCAATTTAGAGGCACATAATTTTTTTTAGAGGCAAATAACCAATTGGTCGTGTAAAATGTATTTAAGGAGACAATTACTTTATGTGCCGCCAAATTTTGCCACTAAAGGTGATTTTTCTTGTAGTGTGGGAAATGAGAAACCTATTAGTGTACTACAAGAAGACAAGAAACTATAAATAATAGGTAACTTTCACACACATCTATATTAACAAGATAATGTCCATGTTCAGAAAAGGTATTAATCATTCCACCAGCTCTAAACAAGCTAGCTCGAGAGGTTAGCTCAACAAGCCACCGAGTCAAGCTAGCTCACGACCTTATCAAGCTGCACATGGTCTAGCTCAAACTTGGCTTGTTTACTAACGGGTCGACTCGCGAGCCAGCTTGTTAACTAACAAGCCGAGTGTCGAACGAATTTAAACCAATTCGAACGCCAAGTTGCTCGCGAGCGGCTTGGCTCATTTGCAGCCCTAACTACAACCAACGGTTAAATAACTTGGCATATGATGTTGTACATTGGTGGCTATATGTAACATTCATAACCCGAACAATTGTGATTTAACTTTTGTATCATTCTCTTTGCAATCCAAACGTCGTTAAAATGATTATCGTCCAATTGAATTAGCAAAATTGCATTAACATAGACATAATATAATGACCTTTTTCTATCAATATGATGTCAATTTGAGCTAGAGGTGTTGCGGTTAATAAACCGTGTTAGTCATGGGCCTTGTTGGCCTTGGCCGAGTCGCTGTAGGTACAGATATTTGGCCGTACTCGACTCTTCTCGTTAGGGTTTTAACTATAGGTCTATTTCTATAAAAGTTTAGCTGCCATCTTTCTGTGATACGCAAGCTGTCACAACGTAGTCCCATAATAAAATTGTCACCCGTGAGCTCTTCCGAGCTCGCTGTGGATTAGTCTCCATCAATCAATCAATCGAATATACCACGTAAAATCTCGTGTCTCTCTTGTTATTTCGATCTTACGCAGTCATCAAATTCTTCAAGGGGCGAAGCCAATATTTGAAGTTGGGGGATTTGTTTAATCAAAGTAATAATTGTGCCACTTACACCCCTGATTTGAGCTCAACGCTATTCTATTTATCTTCATCCTCCAGCTCGTATTTGAATTACAATAGAGCACTCAACTCAAATTTGATGAAGTGATTGTGTGCAGGTTACCCGTAAAAAAAAAAAATGAAGTGATTGTGCCACTTACAAGATAACATTGAAATTTCGATCTAAAGACCATACAACGCGTAAATCCATTGAAAGAAATTTTCAACAAAACCAAAGGTAGTACGATCCCACCACTTCTACCGGATTTCACCCGAATTAGGGCGGGAGTAAACTCAAGCCCATTAAATGCACTTTGGGTCAATCCAGTTGAAAATTATACACTTCTTTGGACCGGTCAGTTCTCGGGAAAAGGCCCAAACCAAAAATCAGAAGCCCAGTCCACCTAAAACTCCATATATCTCCCCTGGAAAAGCAGTGAACTACTGGTTCTTGTTGCGTTGGATCCGGTTGGCGCTATGCAACCCAACAAAAATAGAGTGCGTTAAACAGTCAAATTCCAACATCCCTACGCTTGTAGACATTTCCCATACCCACGTGTTCATGTTGAACTCTGTCTCTAAATAAATCAAATACACTCAGGCCTCAGCTGGCCAAGTAATCAATTAAAATAAGAGCATTCACGATTCCCTCTCCTAAAATCCGGATATATATATAAACCCACTCAAAACCCCAGCCGAAGAAGAGAAAAAAAAAAGCCCAACAAAAAACACCCTTTGTCTCAATGGAATCTCTCGCCCTTCTCTTCACCGGCGGCGCCCTCCTCGCCGCCGCCCTCTACTGGTTCGTCTGCATTCTCGGCCCCGCCGAGCAGAAAGGCAAGCGAGCCGCCGACCTCTCCGCCGGCTCCATCTCCGCCGAGAAAGTCCAGGACAACTACAACCAGTACTGGTCCTTCTTCCGCCGCCCCAAGGAGACCGTCGGAGTCGCCGACAAGGTCCCCGATTTCGTCGACACGTTCTACAACCTCGTCACCGACATCTACGAGTGGGGGTGGGGCCAGTCCTTCCACTTTTCCCCTTCCCTACGCGGCAAATCTCACGCAGAAGCCACGTGCCTCCACGAGGTCGCCGCCGCCGACCTCATCGGGGCCAAGCCGGGCCACAGCGTGCTCGACGTCGGCTGCGGCGTCGGGGGCCCCATGCGGGCCATCGCGGCCCACTCACGCGCCAAAGTCGTGGGGATCACGATCAACGACTACCAGGTGAAACGCGCGCGGGACCACAACAGGAAAGCCGGGCTCGACGCGCTCTGCGAGGTCGTGCAGGGCAACTTCCTCGAGATGCCGTTTCCTGACGGTGCGTACGACGGCGCGTACTCCATTGAGGCCACCTGCCACGCGCCCAGGCTGGAGGAGGTGTACGGGGAGATCTTCCGCGTGCTGAAGCCGGGCGCGTTGTACGTGTCGTACGAGTGGGTGACGACAGAGAAATTTGCGGCGAATGATGCGGAGCACGTGGAGATTATCGAGGGGATCGAGAGGGGCGACGCGCTTCCCGGGCTGAGGAGCGTGGGGGACATCGGCGCCGCCGCGAGGGCGGTGGGGTTCGAGATTGTGGCGGAGAGGGATCTGGCGGCGCCGCCGGCGGGGCCGTGGTGGTCGCGGCTGAAGTTCGGGAGGATTGCCTACTGGAGGAATCACATTGTGGTTTCGGTGCTGGCGGCGGTCGGAGTGGCGCCGAAGGGGACGGTGGACGTCCACGAGATGCTGTGTAAGACGGCGGAGTATTTGACCAAGGGCGGCGAGAAGGGGATATTCAGCCCGATGCACATGATTCTCTGCAGAAAGCCCGCGACGGAGAAGGAAACGGCGCCGTAAGATTGATAAGTGACGGCTGTTTCCCGCCGTTCTACCGTTATGGTTTTTTTTTTTTCTTTCCCTCGTGGCTTTTAGTTTGTTTTCTTGTGTTTCCCTTTCCGTACCGAGCTTGGGTTTGTTCTCTTTTATATTTTGATTAATTTTGTTTTGGGAATTTACTGGGAAGGAAATATGTGGTGTAATTTTTTCCTTTTATCTGTTTTACTGTTGTTGATAGTTGAAGAATAAAAAATTACAAGAAGATAGTTATCTGAATTGTGATTTCCGTGTTTTTCTTAAAACTAGTCATTAATTTCCTTTTATTTAAAGGAAGTCATTAATTGCTTTGCTAGACAAAATTGAAATGTAGATAATACCACAATTTATCTCAACGGTTGAGATAATACCACAATTTTTTCCCCCAAAGGATGCAAGGATTACTAGCTCTTAATCATTGATAAGACGGACGTGAAACCGTCAACAGAGTCAAACACTATCCTACAACAAATATCAGCGTCACACAACTCAATAGAATGCGAACCAAGAGGCAAAGAATGCCCCTTATGTGCTAAGCAATCGACCAAGAAGTTATTTTGTGGGTTAGGGATGAAATAATTTTGTGGGTTTAGTGGTATTATCTCAACGGTTCACAAATTTTTCGGTTGATTGAGAACATGTAAGTATCCTTTTAGATGATCTTATAAATTGTAAACAAGGAATAAAAGACCGAGATAGGTAGAATTACTTTGTGAGCAATCATCATTGTAATAAGGGCAGTTGGTCAAGTTTTATTCTTAAACTCATATAACAAACGTTGCATTGCATATAAAGAAAAATTAATCAAAATCTTGAAGAAAAAAAAATCTATCTTGATTTAATTCGAAAAGAAAATGAAATACAAAATCAAGGCTCAAAATAACATGAGTAACCTTAGGGTGAGTAACAATGAGTAACCAAATATGGACCCTTCTTTTAAATGACTGCAGATCTAAGGGTGGAGAATTGAATGAATTTATTTTCCCTAGTTTTCTTAATTGGATCATATCTTCTTCATTCTAACTCGGATTTCAATTTTTTTTTTTTTTGCACAGATGGAACGAGTCCTTTGTGCTCTACAAAATTATATCCATTTTCAATATTTTTTTAGAAAAAAAAATTTCTTCCCTCTCATTACCAACTCCATACCATATGGTATCTTCTTCATTGTTTAGTCATTTTCAGAAATTTTTGCACAAAAGGAACGATTTAATCATGATCTATTGGATTTCAAAATTTTCTGGGAGAAAAATTTTCATACCTCTCATTACCAACTCCATACCATACTATACCACCCAGGTACGAGGTGGTATTTTCATACCATATGGTATGCTGTTATTTAATACCAGTCAATACCATGGCAAATTGTTTTTGTTCCAAAAAATATCAAAGTGGATATCATTTTGAATCGTTACCAACTTCATACCATACTATACCACCCTGGTATGAGGTGGTATTTTTCATACCATATGGTATGCTGTTATTTAATACCAGCCATATGGTATTGACTGGTAGTAACTGGCAAATTTTTTTTGTTCCAAAAAATATCAAAGTGGATATCATTTTGAAGAGCACAATTAATCTGATCTAACTGTGTAAAAAAAATTAAATTCCGAGTTAAAATGAGTGAGAAATCGTCCGTTAAAGATTAAGGGAAAGAAAATTAATGATTTTTCCAGGAGAGAGAAAGAGGAGCTGATGTGACAGATTTTTATTGGATTATGCATGGAGTTACTCACCATAAGGTTACTCACTGGATTTGCTCCCAAAACCTTTCTTTCCCATTTTTTGATAAATTTTCTCATTCTTAATTTGAAACAAAAGAAAAAGTAAAGTGGCGGCTAAGCTCTTTCTTTCCACCGGAACGATGGTTGAGTTTTGTTTTTGGCCCCTATGGCTTATGGAGCTATGGTGGAGTGGGCGGGCGGCCGGCCGGGGAGAAGGGAAAAGAGAAGAGAGGACACACGAAGGCGCACATGATATGGAGAAAAAAGGCCTTTTTTCTGTTGGTGTTGCAAAAGCTCTCTTTAGCTTTTGTATTTTTGCTACATGTAGCTTTCTGCATTAGACACACTTATTGGACCTCAACTCAAAGACTTTGGTGGATAAATTATCCACCAATCTGCTTGATTTGCGCTTACTTACTACACGGTTAGAGAAAAAAGCTAAATGGTGGTAAGTACACAAGGATTGATGAAGTCCTAATAATATGGAGGGATTGTTAATGGGTCATTAAGCCCATTTTGTATTTAGTGTTGAGTGAGTGTTCTCAGCCCACATCCCTTCTCCCTAAGCCGAAGTTGACCTAGGAGAGTCGGCTAGCAGAGTGTGGTGTATGTATATATATTAGTTTTGTGAACTGCAGCAAACGTAGAGAAAAACCCTAATAATATATCAGCTCGGAGAGTGCTATCTCTCCCGTGGACTAGTCCCGATCATCGGGGAAACCACGTAAATACGGTGTCGTGCTTCTTGTTTCGTTTCCGATATTCCCGTTGTTTTGATCTCAGGTTTGATAAGCTAACATGGTATCAGAGCTTTCATCTCTTGATTCGGAAAGGATTTCTATTCGTTTGAACTCGAAGAACTATTCGCTATGGTCGTTTCAGTTTCGAATGATTGTTGAGGGTCGTGGTCTTCTCTCGATTCTGGACGGTACTACTGCTCGTCCTCAGGTTCCCCCCGCTGCCGAAAGGGAGCTTCTTAGCTGGAATCAGAGCAATGCAAGAATTGTTTCTTGGCTGCTGGGCTCGGTTGATCCCACAATTGCATTGGGACTTCGTATGTTCACAACTGCCCATGAGATGTGGGCGGACTTGGCTGCTACCTACAACGCCAACACTACCAGTCGTCGATTTGATACTCAGATCGCTTTAGCTCGCCTTCATCAGGGTGATATGGACATCGCTTCCTACTACAATGCTGCAAAGTTTCATTGGACCGAGCAAGATCTGCTCGACCTTTCCCTGTCTCCATCGGCTCCCGTTTCTGCTGCGATTCAAGCTGATCGAAATCAAGCGCGTATGCTACATTTTCTGTCCAACCTGAGGCCTGAATTTGAGGTCGTTCGCTCGTCCTTGATTAATCGCGAAGCTCTGAAATGGGATGGGGTCCTAAGTGATCTCATCCGCGAGGAGACTCGCCTTCAGACGCAGGCCAAGATCGACATTCGTCCTGGCTCGGTGGACCCGGCGTTTGCGGCTCGGCCTTCCTCGACTATGGCATTCTCCACTGCTCACTCACCAATGGCTGCCAATGATGCTTACTCAGTGGGTCGTCCACAATTTCAGCGGCGCGTTCCCGTGTCGGAGGTGGTTTGCCATTACTGCCGCAAGCCTGGTCACGTACAAACATTTTGCCGTCAGAAGAACTTTTGCTATTACTGCAAAAAGAATGGCCATATCATCTCTGATTGTGGGCTGATAAAGCCTCGACATCACTCCTCTTCTTCAGCACCAAGAGGCGCCTATGCTGTCGAGTCCTTGCCCGCGGCAGTTTGTGCACCCGCCATGGCAGCACCTCCTCTCGCTGCGCAGGCGGCTGTTCCAGCTAGGGATGCGATCGAGCGCATGGTGAATGAGGCGCTCCAAAGGTCTCTTCCTACTGCTATCTCCTCGGCTTTTGCTTCACTCCAGCTCGCAGGTAATTTTTCTAAGCCTTGGCTCTTGGATTCCGCCTGTTTCAATCACATGTCGGGTAGTCGTCAGCATATGAGTTCTGTTGCTTCTGTTCAAAATATGTCGATTCAAGTTGCTAATGGGCAGCGGTTAAGTGTTGAGGGTATTGGAAATGTTCATTCTCAGGGAGTGTGTTTGCCGAACACATTACATATTCCCCGCTTGGTTCCCAATTTGGTCTCCGTTGGTCAACTCACTGATCAAAATATGCGTGTTGTGTTCGACTCTTCTGGTTGTGTTATCCAGGATCAGAAGACATGGAGGGTGATCGGAAGGGGGAGTAAACAGGGACGGACTTTTACATTGGAAGAGCTCTCGGGTCAGCCTAGTTTGTCGGTTTCTGAGTCATCATCTTCGGTGTCTAGGGGATGTGTTTCGAGTCTTGCTTCGGTGTCTAGCACTTCTGCTTTTTCGAGTCAGCGTCATGGGGATTTTGATTTGTGGCATTCTCGGTTAGGTCACCCTCACAAGAGTAGACTTGTAACCATGATTAATCAACAGTTATTTGGAAATAAAAAGGTTGATAGCTCTTCTCATGATTTTATGTGTACTAGCTGCGTCGAAGCTAAAGCCACTCATAGCTCTTTCCCTTCTAGTACCACGGTCATCTCTGACCCGTTTCATGTGGTGCATACCGATCTTTGGGGTCCTTCTCCTACTACTTCTCGTCATGGTTACAAGTATTTTGCCCTGTTTGTTGATCATGCCACTCGTTTTACCTGGGTCTATTTCTTGAGTCTCAAGTCCGACCTGTTAATTGTTGCTACAGAATTTTTAAAGATGATACAGACTCAATTCGGTCGTACAGTTCGTATTATCAGGTCGGATCCGGGTGGGGAATTCAGCTCTCATCCCCTGGCTTCTCTTTTTCGGTCTCAGGGTATTCTTACTCAGAAGTCATGTCATGGGATTTCTCAACAGAATGGCTTGGTCGAGAGAAAGAATAGACATGTAGTTGAACTTACTCGGGCATTACTTCTTGCCTCATGTGTTCCTTCTCGATTTTGGCCTGAGGCGGTCCCCACTGCGGTCCGTCTCATTAACTATCAGATTACTCCTGTCCTTGGTCAGTTCAGTCCTTATTTTGCCTTGTTCCAGAAACACCCAGATTATTCTCGTCTTCGTGTGTTTGGATGTACGTGCTTTGTTCTTCTTCCTCGCAGAGAACGCTCCAAAATTTCCTCTAAAACGGCTCGTTGTGTCTTTCTTGGGTATAGTGACATTCATAAAGGGTATCTATGTTATGACCCTTCGGTGTCTCGTCTTCGTGTATCTTGTGATGTCACTTTTTTTGAGCGTCTCATGTTCTTTTCCGAGTCATCCGAGTCTTCTCCTTTTGTCTCTGCTGATCCGTGTCAGCTCCCGGAGTTCCCTGATGATATTGATTATGATGCTGCTGAAGATCTACTCCCCCCCCCCCCCCCCCCCCCCGACTCCCCTCCTCCGTCCCCCGGATCGTCCTCAACGTCCTCGTCTTCTTCTGGTTCGGACTCGCCTGGTGGTTCCGCTGGAGGGTCTCCTTCTCCGGTTCTTGCGCTCAGACGATCTCTT